AAGGTGCTGTTTAAGGGACTTGGGTCCCCAGCCATTTAAGGCTTTATATGCCACTATTATGAACACCTTGTATTCGGCCCAGTAATTCAGTGGCAGCCAGGATGACGTTTTCAAGACTTGTGGCAGCACATGGAACTATCAGGCTGCCTCACTTACCAGCCGCACTCTACCTGCAGAGTCTGGACCAGGGGTAGGCAACCTAAGGCCCGGGGGCCAGATGCGGCCCATTCGCCTTCTCGATCTGGCCCACAGACAGTCCAGGAATCGGCACCGGAATTTGTTCATTACTATTTTTTTTCAAAATACAGCGGTGCCTCGCAAGACGAAATTAATCCGTTCTGCGAGTCTCTTCGTCTTGCGGTTTTTTCGTCTTGCGAAGCACGGCTATTAGCGGCTTAGCGGCTATTAGTGGCTTAACGGCTATTAGCGGCTTAGCGGCTATTAACAGCTTAGCATCTTAGCGGCTATTAACGGCTTAGCGGCTTTAAGAAAAAGGAAACAAACTCGCAAGAACTCGCAAGACGTTTCGTCTTGCGAAGCAAACCCATAGGGAAATTCGTCTTGCGGAACGACTCAAAAAACGGAAAACTCTTTCGTCTAGCGAGTTTTTCATCTTGCGAGGCATTCGTCTTGCGGGGCACCACTGTATAGTCCGGCCCACCACGTGGTCTGAGGGACGGTGGACCGGCCCACAGCTGAAAAAGGTTGCTGACCCCTGGTCTGGACCATCTTCAAGGGCAGCCTCACTTATTTTGCATTACAGTAGTCCAGTATCTTGCTAGGTAAGACTCTACAAAGGTTGGGCCCACCGTGAGGTAGAGTGAGACAGCTGCCTCTGGATCAGGGAAAGGCAGCGAGGTTTTGAGAAGGCATAGGAACCTGCCATATGCCGAGTCAGACCACAGGCCTATCTGACTCAGTACTGTCTACACTGGCAGCAGCTGTCCAGGTTTTCAAACAAAAGTGCCTCCCAGCCCAATCTGGAGATGCTGGGGGTTCAACCTGGGATGTCCAGCATGCAAGGCAAATGCTCTACCAGTGGGATAGTAGGCTGCCTTCAGGTGCGGGGCCAGACACTGTCCCCTTTGCCAGTATTAAAGTCAGATTGAACTGCCAGTCAAGGCAGCTTCTCTACATGAAACCGCATAGGAAAGGGCATCCTAGCATAGCTGTCAACTTACAGATTTGAAAATAAGGGACCAGCAGCCTCAAAAATAAGGGATCAGCAGCCAAAACAAGGGATTTTCGTCAACCAGCTGAAATACAAAGTTAAAAGGGACCAGATAATTTGGGAGAGCAGCGTCGGTTTTTAGTCCAGAGGTTGCTGCTCAAGACACCAGCTGATGAAACACTGCAATTAAATAACTACAAGCAGGAACCACTTTTCGCTCAAAACGAAGTCCAAGCTACAAAAATGCTGCTGCAGTTCTGTATCTTTTCTCTTGTGCTCCATCTGCAGCTCTCAGTTCCATAAGGCGGGGCAGGAGGAAGAAAGGGGTGGAAATAGCGCCCGAAGTAAACCCGCAGATCAGACCATGTACGCTAGTCTACCACTACAAATCTACAGGAGAAGTGCTTGCAGTCCTTCCTCCGCTTTCCCCCTCTATGGTTAGCCCTTGGAACACCTGCCCGTGCCTCCGCCTCCACCTCCTCTCTCTGAACTGCTTTCTCTATGGTTGCCCTCGCTCTCTCAAGGCTCCTCAGCAATTCATAGGCCGCGCCAGGCTGCCCATCTCACCTGGGTCCTTCGGCGGCGCAGCCGCAGTAAGACCTAGCGGGAGCGGCAGCGGCGGGCAGAGGGGAGGCCCCAGGCAGAGATGCTCAGTTTGGCGGCTGCGAGGAGGATGGTGGCGGAAGGGCCCGAGTCTCCTGCCAGTCCCAGCGGGGAGGGGCTCCCGGGGGCCAGAGGGGGGCGGGGCGGGCAGCCAAGCAACACAGTTGGAGCCTCCCTCCTCCCTGGCTGGCAGGGAGGGAGGGAGAGGAGCTGCTTCCTTTGAAACCCGGGAAATTTAAGGGACATCATCAATAAGGGACAGCAGTGGGACACGGTGCTGGGGTAAGGGAGTTTCCCGCCAAATAAGGGATGGTTGACAACTATGCATCCTAGTCTTAGCCTTAGGCAGTAGCATCTCTTGGTCCTGCCCTGTTCCTCCTTCACCATCACCTCTCTCTCTTTCTCTCTCTCACACATCAGCACCATTAACTATTTCACCTCAAGAAAATGTCTCGGGTGGCGCACAGCTGCCACCTCAGTCATCAGTGACCCTTTCTAACCTCCAGCTGCACCCAAGATATAGGCTGCACACCCCATACATTTAAAGCACATTTAATGTGCATGACTGTCCCCCAAATAATCCTGGGAACTGCAGTTTGTGAAGAGTGTTGGGCATTGGCGCTCAGTGAGGGGTAAACTACAGTTTCCTTGAGGAAAGTCATGTCTGTTAAATGTATGGCGTGTACATACAGCCCACCATCTCCCAAATGCAACCGCAGGTTGCTCCACAATAAGCCACTTTATCTGGAACTGTCTTCCTTTGTTCACACTTAACAACAACGTTGTTGTAGGAGATGTAGGGGACTGAAGTTTGTATGCAAACCACATGCTCTGCCCACTGAGCTACTGCCATTCCCTGTTATTTGTGTTCATCTCCTCTGCATGCTTGCCCCAAAATAATTTCCCCCGTGGTGATCCGACTCAAGACACAACCACAAATTCGCATTCAGGAATTTCTGGGGATTCCAGTCAGTTCTTTCCTGTTAGCCTGTTACATTCATTCATGCCCCCTGCAATTTCCCTGAACTCCGGCACAGACATACCACAAACATGCACACAAACCATGCACTCAGGAAACGGACTTCTTCTTTTAAAGAGCAATCTGCTAGCAAGAAAATGCTTCCCACTTTTGCTGAAGCACGCTTTCCCCTGCCCCAGGCAATAAGCACTAATGAACTCAGCGGCTGAATGCGGAATTAGCTAATGCATTGTCTCTCCAAATATCTAACCAGTGACCTCAAACCACAAAGCTTGGAAAGGAAAAGGAGCGCATTGCAAATTGTGGAAGAAGTAGTGGTGCAGTGACAGAGGAGAGAGGAGGGTGGAGAGGGAAACTGAAAAGCTTCTGCCTTGCAGTCCCAATGCCTGCTTTGAATTAAGGCACTAGTCCATCTAACCCAGTATCATCTACTCTGGCAGGCAGCAGTTGTCCAAAGCCTCTCAGGCAGGGATCCTTCCCCAAGTGGCACCCAGCCTTGCTACTCCTTCTCCTTGCTTTTGCTGCTTATTTGCCAGCCAAGGGAGTGAGCCATGAGAAGAGCGAGGAAGAGAAGAAAGGGGTGGGAGGAGGAGGTGGAGGATCCCTGTGTTGTAAACAAAAATTGTCCTTTTCCCTTATGGGGTATCCAAGAGCCCATATAGAGTCTTTACATAGGTTCCCTATTGGTAGGAGAAAATAACAGAGGCCAACCAGAGAATATTGAGAAGCAAAGCAGCTAGTAAGCTTGATCTTTATTGATCTGTTGCAACAGGGTGCTCCCCTCACCCGCAGGAAAGGAGGAGGACCCAGAAAAATGGCCCACAAGGCCTTATAAAGACTTTTGAAATTGCCACCCTGTAGATCAAGACCACCCCCAGAAACATCATACATACATCACAGAAAAGGCGGTCTTAAAACAGAAATTTGAATGTTGTTTTTCTCCTGTCATTATTTATCTCCTGTCTGGCAGGTTACTTGATATCTTAAATGTGCCCTTAAGATAGGATTTGTGAGGAAAGAGACAATGGGGAGGTTTGCCACTTTGACCTTGCAGAGAAAACATTTTGCTCAGTTTAGGAATCAAAATGGTGCCAGGTTGGCCTTCCTGTGCTGATCTATGTACGTGCTTGGTTGGTACACTTATGAACATTACCATATCTCTAAGACCATAAATTCATATCACACCTGCATGCTTTGTTCCCTCGCTGGCAGGTGGTTGTAGATGGGACCCAGAGGGAGAGGCAAGTGGGGGTGAAGTATCACCAATAGTAAGGAGGAATCGCAGGGTTGGAGGCAACCACCTTTCAACAATGCAGGCTATTTCTTACCACGATGAAGCCTCTCTGGATGTTTAGCCAAATTCTGCTTCAGTGCTGGTTCTAGCCCTGCCATCCAACCAACAGATTTGCAGTCTGCTCCATCTTCCGCACTGACAGCCTTTCAGGCTCTTGGAAGACCATGAGCACATCTTCCCCTATTATGTGCCCCACCAAGAGGCAGGCAGGCATGTTCCGCCTAATCCACTGAGAGCAACTTGACTGGTACACCCACACCAAGGGTACAGAAGACCCTCCTTGCTGGCAACAGCCTTTTTAATGCAATTCTGCTCTGCTTTGTCATGGCAAAGGGATAATTTGCCTTGCGTGTGTGCTTTGAAACTGTCCTACTTTAGGCTTGCCCTATAATGAAGAGGTAGGGACGCGGGTGGTACTGTGGGTTAAACCACAGAGCCTAGGGCTTGCCGATCAGAAGGTCAGCGGTTCGAATCACCGCAATGGGGTGAGCTCCCATTGCTCGGTTTATGCTCCTGCCAACCTAGCAGTTCAAAAGCATGCTAAAGTACAAGTAGATAAATAGGTACTGCTCCGGTGGGAAGGTAAACGGCGTTTCCGTGCGCTGCTCTGGTTCGCCAGAAGTGGCTTAGTCATGCTGGCCATATGACCCGGAAGCTGTACGCCGGCTCCCTCGGCCAATAAAGCGAGATGAGCGCACAACCCCAGAGTTGGCCACGACTGGACTTAATGGTCAGGGGTCCCTTTACCTTTATAATGAAGACCCCTGTGGCAACAGGCAAAACCTCTCCCGATGTTCACCACAGCAAGCACCTGCTATAAGCATAAGCAGAGCCCTGGGATGACAAACAGGGTAGTTGTGCACATGGGCTCAAGATGACCTGCTGGAATGGCCTACTGTGAACTGAGCAACTGCAGCATAGGCTACAGCATCACAATCCAGTTGCCCCCACCTCTCTGAAGCATTGTGAGACCAGTCAGTCAAGGTTGAGCCACTAAAATCTGGGCCACCCTAGATTGGGTATGGGGAACCTTTGGCCCTCCAGATGCTGCTGAACTACAATGCCCAAACACAAGTGAGTGAGAAGATTAGTGATTTTATTCTAAACACCAAGCAATATATACATTACCAAGCAACACTTCAATCTGCCACTGGGAAGCCCTCAAGAAGTGGTGAAGTGACTCCCCCAGGTAGTCTCAATTTTTCAACAGCCCCACGGCCAACAGTCTGTGCACGAGGTTCTCAGCACTCTGCCCAAAAAACATCTGATATATAGATTAGTGATAGCTAGCCTGTATGGCTTGCCCAACTGCCTATGTGCAGGTCATTCATTAATCACCCTCTTCCCAATGCTTCTACATCAAAGAAGGTCAGAAAGTACCCATCACTATTGCATCTTCCTTCCAGCAGATTATACATTAAAGGCTGCTCTCAGCCATCAAAGAACTTTAACAAGAGATAGAGAGGGGAAGTAAACAGAGGCAGGAAGAGATGACCATGCTAGATCAACTAACTCCTTGAAATTACAATTATTTTCCAGAAAGATTGCCCATACACCATCATCCCTGGCCATTGGCCATACATGCTGGAGCTGATGTCGAGTTGTAGTTCAACATTTGGAGGGCCAGAGTTTCCTCACTCATGTCCTCACTCATGTCTCTCTGTTAGCCGATTCCCAGATCCCTCTTTGTCCCAGCGCACTCCAACCCTTCTCACCTCCTCCCTTTGCCTCCTTTTCATCTCCCTTTAAACGAAACAAGGGAGTGGCAAGCGAGAAGCCTGGTCAGGCGGCTATAAAACAGGGCAAGTGGAAAGGCTACAGAGGTTGGATCAAATAAGTTTCTGTTAAATGCATTGCAAACTTTGTATGGGAAATCGGGTTAGCAAAAATGGAACTACACAGCGCCATCTTGTCACAGCATTAGAATGCATAAACAATGCATATACTGTTACGTGCTTTTTCTTTGCCAATATAGCTGAGTCCAGAGTCTAGCACAGTGATGGCCAAACTTTTCCCTCCAGCTGTTTTGGGACTACATCATCCCTGACCACTGGTCTTGTTAGCTAGGGATGATGGGAGTTGTAGTTCCAAAACAGCTGGAGGGCCAAGTTCGGCCATCACTGGTCTAGCAGCACAAAGAGCCATTGTGAGGTCACAGGGGTTCCACAATGCCGTCAGCAGGCAGAGGTGCCCAAGCAGGCAGGTAAACAGGCAAGGAGAGCATCCTGGCCATGTGCACCTGTATCCATGAATAGCCCCCATGCCTATGGCGCCGGGAGGCAGGGGATGAAGGTCGCAGAGCCCAAAGGTCTTGTGTCTCAGCTCCTTGGGAGCTGGTTACAAGCCATCCGGTAAGTTATAATGCCAGAAACTCAGAGTCAACCTCTGAAACTGGGAGACAAAAAAGGTACTTTTATTTTTACTCATTGTGCTATTAACTTATGGAACTCAGTGCTACAAGATGTGTTGGCGGCGCCTGGTGGCCACCATCTGCAATGGCTTCAAAAGAGGGGTTAGAGATATTAATGGAAGATATGGCTTTACCATAAGAGCATAAGGAAAGCCTGCTGGATCAGGCCAAAGGACCATGTGGTCCAGCATCCCATTCTCACTGTGGCCAACTGGGAAGCCTGCAAGCAGATGTCCAGGGTATTTGAGCCACCATCTTCAGATGCAATGTGCCTTCAACCACCAGTTACTGCTCTAATGACAGGACTCTTGAAAGCGTCTGGCTGGCGACTGTGGGTTACATATAGACCTTTGGTCCAAACTTGCAGGGCTCTTTTTATGTTCCTATGCTGCCACTTCAAAACTTGCTCTCTGTCGTCTAGCTTCTCTCATTCATGAATTGCTCCTACCAGCTTCCACATAGCTCCTTATCCCTGTCTGTGATGATCAGAGCTAACCAAACGCTTATGCCCCACAGAGAGACCATTGCAATCCTGTTGGAGTTTGCAGAAGATCAGACCCAATGGTTACTTCAAACGGCTGCCAGTTACCGTGTCCTGAAGGCCCTGTTCCCATGTCTGGAATCCTTTGCAAGGTCAGAGCTTCTGCCAGGAAGAAAATGGGGGGGGGGGGAGAGATGGGGAATCACAGCTGTGATTATATGGATGGTGTTCATATGGCAGGACACAAAGAGGAGACACTGAGCAAATCCTAAGTCACTTTTGATACAGTTCCAATAATTTCAGCTTAATTATTTTAAAATAGGTGTCTAGTCCTTGGTGAGGCAGGAAGGACATTTAGAATGTGTTTCAGCAAAAAAACAAAACACAGGAGGGCACAAAATAAGGAGTCTAGTATAAAGAAACTCAACTTCATGGCAGTTTCTTCGGTTCCTATCAAGGTACATGACAAATCAAAGTACAGAAAATAAATATACAGTCGTACCTTGGATCTCGAACGCCTTGTCTCCTGAAATCGGCTCCCGAACGATCAAACCCCAGAAGTGAGAGTTCCAGTTTTCGAACGATTTTCAGAAGCCGAACGTCCGGCGCAGCTTCCTATTGGCTGCAGGAGCTTCCTGCAGCCAATCAGAAGCCGCGCTTTCATTTCCGAACATTTAGGAAGTCCAATGGACTTCCAGAACAGATTCCGTTCGACTTCCAAGGTACAACTGTATAAGGAATTTTCAAACCTTACTGACTGAAATTTGGTTGCACATCTTATGATTTCTATTTTCCTTTATATATCACAAAATCCCCTCTTGTGGATGCAGTTTGATTTGTGAACTTTAGAGGCAGAAGAAAGTTGTCAAGCACCTCCCACACAACTTTACCATTTGAGAAAATATTTAAATGTCACAACATTTCAGTCTGGAGAATGGGCTAGCCAGTTCAAATTTGCATGATGTTTCAGTTCTTCATTTTGTACTACAATGGTACCTCGGATTAAGTACTTAAGTAGTTCTGGAGGTCTGTTCTTAACCTGAAACTGTTCTTAACCTGAAGCACCACTTTAGCTAATGGGGCTTCCCGCTGCTGCTGCACGATTTCTGTTCTCATCCTGAAGCAAAGTTCTTAACCTGAGGTACTATTTCTGGGTTAGGGGAGTCTGTAACCTGACGTGTATGTAACCTGAAGCGTATGTAACCCGAGGTACCACTATACAGCTAAGTTCATCCTAAGGGCCAGCAGATCGCCTACAGAAATGAAGTCTAAAAAAATCTGACATGTTCTACTTTTCCTTTCCTGGTCTCAAGAAGCCAACACATAAGTTCTGCTGAGCTCACGACAAGCCCCAGCAAGAACCAAGAAGAGATAGCAGGCAGTAGCCAGAAAGATCCCACTAAGAACCACCGGGACGAAGATGGCGCGGCATTTCCCTCCCGCTCTGCAAGAGAGAACACATCTCTGCCCTCTCAGTCAATCTACACCTTATTTGACAAAGATGGGCGGCTGGATGTCTTCCGCATGCGCAAGCTGGTCTACGAGAGAGGTAGCCCCACCATCTACACTGTGGAGATGCTGGTGGCGGCAGGGAGGGAGAAGCCTGTTTCTGGCATCCTTTAGCCCCAGGGGTCACGGGTGGCGCTGTGGTCTAAACCACAAAGCCTCTTTGGCTTGCCAATCAGAAGGTTGGCGGTTCGAATCCCCACGATGGGGTGAGCTCCCGTTGCACAGTCCCAGCTCCTGCCAACCTAGCAATTTGAAAGCACGCCAAAAATGCAAGTAGATAAATAGGTACCGCTCCAGCAGGAAGGTAAACGGCATTTCTGTGCGCTGCTCTGGTTTTGCCAGAAGCGGCTTAGTCATGCTGGCCACATGACCCAGAAGCTGTACGCCGGCTCCCTCGGCCAATAAAGCGAGATGAGCGCTGCAACCCTAGAGTCATTGCGACTAGACTTAACTGCCAGGGGTCCTTTACCTTTACCTTTTTAGTCCAGGGGTGAGGAACCTTTTTCAGTCCCAAACCACATTTTCTTCAAACACAGTGGAGAATTTTGGGAGGTCATTTGTTCACAGCACAGGACCACACAGAGAATGTGGTGAAAGGACACTAAATTCAGTTTCCCGGGTGTTTGATTAGTACTAAAGCCCTGAATTTTTGTGTGGGAAGTGGAGAAGAAAGCAGTTTTGAGCTGAAAAGCAGTAGCGGGGAGGGATGCTTAACCCTTTCCCCCAGCGACGTTTTTCTGTGCTTCCCGCAAAGTTGCATCCTCTTCCTTCTCGGGTTTAGACACGTGCTTGCAAGATTAACCCCAACTCCGATTCCGCCCCACCACTACTGCAGTGCTATCCATCAGGCATCTCAACTGGATGGGGACCCGTTTAAAACTGTGGTTTGGTGTTACTACACTGGGAGGGGTGGTCAATGTAGGGTAATGTGTGTCTTTTCTTAGGCACACATCCCAGTGAGAGAAAGATCACCTGGAAGTTTCTTTTTGGGGTGTACCCGGAGAAATCCACAACTGAAGAGAGGAAGGAGCTGGACCAGCAAATGTCCTCTCAGTATCGGTGGATGAAGCGCTCGTGGAAACAGCGCTTCCCCTGGGCTGCCGTAATGAGGGTTCATTCCGACTGTAAGTACAACCAATGCCTGATGGCTTTGTATCCTGCTACATCCCTCCCACTGGGTGGAGCAACAGGGCTCCACCTCTTAAAGGGACCACACCTGGCAAATGATGCGTTGTTTACTATTCACTTACTCCTATAGTGGAGCTTTCCTTGGCGATCCAGAGACATGACGAACAATGGAGGGAAGCTGAAACAGCCAGTCCTCCTACAGATATCTTTGATGAGGTGAGATATGAAATAGAAAATTACTTTCTTGAAGTGGATATTAATTAATGATGTTGAGGCAGGTAGGGTAATGAGCTGGTGAGCAAGGCGTAGTTTAACTCAGGCTCGGCAAAGCTTAGTCCTAAAATTTGTTTTCAGTGCATTCCTGTTTAGGGAAGCTTTTAATGTTTAACAGACCACTGTATTTTAATATTTTGTTGGAAGCCGATCAGAGTGGCTAGGGAAACCCAGCCAGGTGGGCGGGGTATAAATAATAATTTATATATATATTATTATTATTATTATGACACAACCCTGGGAAGACTGCTTCTTTTTTTAAAAAAAAGTGTCATGCTTTAAGCACATGCAAGGTGAAGATTTTCCAGTTACCACAAAGTGACTCTTAACCAGCCAGAGGACACATAGAGTTAGTGTTTCCCAAACTTAGGTCTCCAGCTGTTTTCAGACTACAATCCCCATCATCCTTAGCTAGCAAGCCCAGTGATGATGGGAACTGCAGTCCAAAAACAGCTGAAGACCCGAGTTTGAGAAACACTGAGTTAGAGGCTTCCACATCAGAGGACATTTCTTCCAAGTGGTGTTGAGGCCCAACGTCCCTCCCTCCCTCCTTTTTTTAAAAGGAAATTGTAATGACTTGGAAATCTCTGCCTTTTAACTCTCAGCAAAGGGTGGTGTAAAAAAAACCACTCCTTGCACATTCGAAGCCAGCACATCAGAGAAAAGACTTACCCCCAATCTTCTCCCAGACATTGTAATTCTTATATTCTTTGTGGAGAAAAACATTTAAACGCCTGGCTGCAGTCTGAAATGGTGCAGCCCAGCAATGGGTGCTACATGTGGTGTTCCCCGTGCATGTTTTTAACTCTTAGGACCAAACCAAATGACAAGACAGTGTAAGATCCACAGAGTGGATGTCCTGCAGGATTGGTTTTTGTTAGCTAAAGGCAGCTGTAGGGAGAGGTGAACCACTTCAGAGCCATGACACTGGGGGAGGAGTGGAGTTGTGTGTGTTTTTGTCCCTTTACACTCTGTATGTTTCCCACATCTGAAAAATGGTGGCGGGTGGAAGGGTGGCAGTTAGATCAGGAAAACAACAGCAGAAGGAGGAATTAAGCCCCACCTTGGCCCAGAGTTCTAGTCCCAATCCACCCTCACTCTGCATGGCTGCTTTTCACTTTCAAGGAAATGGATCTTGACTCTTGAGAAGGGATTTGATGGAAGGAAGAGAGTCATGTCAGGGATCTCCTGATGTCTTATCCTCCTATTTTACAATGGTCATAGAGTATAGGGCTCCATCTTGAGAAGGTTTTCAGAAGCATCTACTGGCCACAGAATCCTGGACCAGGCTGGCTCTTGGCCTAATCCAGCACACAATTACTCCATTCCCAGACATGGGGTGGAACTGAGAACTCACGAAATATGCTTCCAAGCGTCAGTGTGCTAACTAGCCCTTCCTTAATGTTAAGTTGTGGGTGAACATATCAGACGACACAGCGATTCTTCAAACAGCTCTTGTTTATTCACAGGCCAGAACAGAACTGAATTGAAGGGTTCAGTCAGCCTGCTTATATAGAGCTCCAGTACAACGTAACTGTAACAATTTTCTAAAACTATCCAATCACTGAACGTCACTTTCGATCCCTTATTTGCATAACTATCTACAGTATCCCCCTGCTGGCCCAGGGTGAGAACTTCAGTATATAACACCTAACGTCTCCCATTCTAACATCAATGCAATTCTGTCTTTCGTCAGCATAGCCTGCCCTTCTCGCACATTAACGAGCAACAGTTCCAAAAGGCGCTTCAAGACATTGATGCCGACGTACCCCAGACGGACAGACACCGGACATTCTTCCAGTGAGAAGTTGGCCCTCCCCAGCCGAGGCAAAACAAAAAGTTGGGACTTCCAGCAAATTTTGAAAATTCAGATTCTGAAAATTCAAAGGGGGGATTTCCTGAATGATGTACAGGCCTGTGTAAACTATGACCACTGCTTCCCCCACAAGCTGGAATCAGCTCGCCAGGTCCTGTCTTCACACATACACACATCCATTTTTGCAAACCCAGGCAGGCAGGAATCAAACCCACTGGAGGGTTGCTGCTCATACCTGGCAGTTTTCATTTAGTTTGGTAGGCATTGTGCAGGTCTGAAGTCAAATATTGTAATATCCCAACAGATTATACCCAAACATGGACAAGTCTGCCCTCTCCTTCAGGAAGAAGTTCACAGAACATTTCTTCCTGGGAATATTTGGCTTGTAACAGCAGAGGAATTTGACATATAGGACTTTTCCAAAACTCAGATCACATTACTAAGCTGTCAGCATTCGTCAAAAGCTGGAATATGCCCTGCCCCCCACAATCTGGGGGGGGGGAGAGGGGGAACCCCACACCTCAAAATGAAAACTTTAGGCCAAGAAACATGTGATACAGGAGACGGGTGATCATATCTCCTTTTCATTATTCGTTTTAGCTTAAAAGCAGTTCTGATTTTGCTCAGAGAGCAATGGCGCTGGTGGAAGGAATGTTTAAACCTTCCCACTCCTGTGATGTTTTGCTGGTCTAAATCTACCATGACACTGCTGTTAGCACCAGTGGGTGGGTGGGATTTAGATCAGGAAAGGAGGGCAGGGCAAAGGGTTAAGGATTCCCTAATCTAGCATCACTCCTCCAGGCAAACTAGAATCCCCTCACACACAGAGAGAGAACTGTTTCGAAGGGTGTTTTTTTAAAAAATTATTATTATAATTTTAAGTTGAAATATCCAATCAGAAATTGTCACTCCTCTTTTGGGCCTGAGATAATCAGGTTTCAGGTTATCCCCACGCAGAACCTGCTACACCTACGTATATACCTGTTACACAAATTGCCCTATACGAGCAGACTTGCCAGTCCTTTTGTAGTACCTACTGTTAGATTCCTCCCTGCTTCCCATTATCACACATCCAGCCCTTTCCAGTTACATTCTTCTCCTGCCCTCTCTGGTCCTGAATATCTTCTTTTGTAATTCCTGTACTACAGCAGAGCTTTGAGGCAGCTATTGGGGAATACTCTCTATCCTCCAAACCTCTATCGTTTATATACAGGTTTTAACGTAGCCTCTCCCAAAGAATGCTGGGGATTGTAGTTTGGTTAGTGTTGAGAATTTTCCCTTGGAAATCCCTATTCTCACCGCTACTGTCCACCAAGCCTCCTTGAAGAGCAGGAATAGTCGTTGACAGTGTCGATACATCCAGTAGTGCGGCAGGAGAGCTGAAAATAAGGCCAATATATTTCACCTCTGGTTTCAGACACTTTGGTCGGAACAAAGTATACACTTCCAGAATGAGGTCCTGTTGCTCGGTCCCTGCTCCTGCCAACCTAGCAACATCAAAGTGCAAGTAGATAAATAGGTACCACTCTGGCGGGAAGGTAAACGGCATTTCTGTGCACTGCTCTGGTTCGTCAGAAGCGGCTTAGTCATGCTGGCCACATGACCTGGAAGCTGTACGCCGGCTCCCTTGGCCAGTAAAGCGAGATGAGTGCTGCAACCCCAGAGTCAGCCGCGACTGGACCTAACGGTCAGGGGTCCCTTTACCTTTACCTTATTTCTGGTAAATGAGCCAACCAAACTGCTAGAGCAGGCATAAGAAAACTCAACCCTCCAGATGTTTTGAAACTACAATTCTTATCATCCCTGACCACTGGTCCTGTTAGCTAGGGATGATGGGAGTTGTAGTCCCAAAACATCTGGAGGGCCAAGTTTGCCTATGCCTGCCCTAGAGAGTTGTGAACATTTGTGTCCTGGGCTACCCATGTATTATCTGAAACCAAAGGGGTGCATTGGTTGCCAGATGTGATTTCCCTCCCCAGCTCTCCTACCCCACTATTGAATCAACTTTAATTCTAGGGCTGTGACTGGGAACATGTGGAGGAATAGCGGGGGGGGCGGCTCCTCTGAGTATGTGCCAAGTGCCTTTCCCTTGCCAGTGAATAATCCCAGCTAATGGATCTAAGGAACTGGCCACTCAAAGCTGTCCCAGATGCTTTCACCTCTCTTTTTAGAACTAATTTGGGGTACACTCATGATCAAGGCCACCACCATAATACCTAGCGTATGGATTTATTCTCTCTCTCTCTCTCCCCAGACGCGAAGGACTAGTGAATCTGCTTTACCTCCGGGAAATTCTCGTCACGTACGTGGCCTTCCACCAAGGTGAGGAAACTGCTGTACTCGACCCACTTCCAGGAATCTCACTTGATGGCATCAGATGTCTGCCTGCCAGCTTCCCTGCTCCATTCACCTCCACCCCTCTATCCGTTCCTGACACTTTACAGGCCTGCCATTCATCATTTATATGGTGCTTTTAATTTGCCATGTCCTTTTCAACCCAAAGTGTTTCTCAAAGAGGCGTAGGGCTTTTCTCAAGGCAGTTCAGGGGCGGAACAGACCTTCCCCTCAGGAGGTCTCTTCTAAACATCCCACAGCCAGCAGTGTAGACCGTGCTAGATATAGCGCGTACATTTTTGCACAAGAAGGAATGTGCAAAACTCCCTAGACCCACTCTGTATGCATCACACTCACGTGTCTAAGCCCACATGTGTGTCCACCGCTCATGTGTATTCATACACACGCTACCAGGGTTCTTTGGGGCAGGGAAAGCCAGAGCTATTAAAATGGTGCTTTAAATGTATGCCATGGATGTGACCTTAGCACCCTCGCTTTCTACAGAATCCCATCATGAAAATATAAAACTGCAGACCCAAAGATGACATCCAGACCAATCTTGCCAATGCTATACTTCTGTCATAGATCTAGCGTACCAGAGTCTGTGAAGTGTAGAAATTAATAAAGGGTAGTACTTAGACAATATTTGGAATATGAAGGGAGAATACAAGCTGCAGAACTGTGCCACGCAATAAATTCCTGAGCTAGGCTTATGCGAAACAGCTTAGCTGGGCTAGCTAAGTGCAGAGCCGTGAAAAAACAATAGGGAGCCAGGGACAAAACCATTAACTGTCCTTGGCAATGCAAAAAGCTATCCTTCCCCCCTGCTCTGAGGAGTGGACAGCGAAAGGAGATCTGGGAAGTAGCCAAGGTGGCAGGAGCATGTTGTCACAGGAAAAAGTGTCCTTTTTGAAATCTAAAGGTGCAGGAGGAAGTAGACAGGATTCCAGGCCACGAAGGGCAAAACCACCTTGGCAGGCTGGGACAGAGGCACGAGAGGGGCTGCAGGAAACCTTGAACTCCATGCTTGCTGGCTGGAGGAAGCTGTACTGAGAAACCAGGAGCCATGACTGACCATTGCTTTGGACCTCAACTTGCTGAAGCTATGAGAGGAGCAATGAGATACACTCTTGGGGTAGAATGTTCTGCACCCCTCCATTGAAGGCTTTAGGTGTAAATATGTGTAAAAGAAACCCTATTTCTTCATGACACTAGCCTTAATTTTGCCAACGGAAACACAATAGCTGGGCATGTGCCTGGACCCCCTGGAATCTTGCTACCGCTCGGCAGAGATTAGGGGTAGCTCACAACCTCTGTAACGATAGATTCTTTCTCTGCTTTTAAAGCAGCGCAAGAGTAAACAGGGTTGTTGCAGAGTAAAGGGATGCAAAGATGTAGTCAGCAATGGGTAACTGCAGTAGTGGGCTCAGATTGTGATCTTTGGGGATTCCAACTACACAAGTATATCATTTCCCCCCCTCTGTGAACAGTAGAGGAGCGTGCTCTTCTGGATTCATGATTCTGTGATATTTTGAGCTATTTATTATCCCTTTATTGCATGACACTTTGCACATGCCATGTTTCCCCCCTGAATGGCTGCAAGGTGGGCTGGCAATTCCGGGTGTCAACAGCACTTCTTCCCATAGCTGTCAACTTTCAGATTTGAAAATAAGGGATCAGCAGCCTCACCTGTCCCGGGGACAGTCTACGGGATATCTAACAATCCAGGAAGCAGCAAGAAACAGCGCTGGAATAAGGGAATTTCCCGCAAAAAAAGGGAAGGTTGACAACTTCTTCCCTACTGCTGGTTTCTTTCCTCCTCTGCAGACATCGGATACTGCCAGGGCATGAATGACTTTGCCAGCCGCTTTCTGGAGACCCTGGAAAATGAGACTGAAGCCTTCTGGTGCTTTGTGGGCTACATGAGACGTTCAGCGTGGAGTTTCACCACCATGGGTGTCCGCCGCAAGACACGTGAGAAAGCGGGGAGGGAGAGGAAGAAACACCTCCCCACATCATCTGATGCAAACATACATTATCCTCTCCAGGTTTAAGCACCAGGGAGGAATGGACTGTTCTGAAAATTTTCAGGGAATGTGGATTGTGGAAAGCGTCAACTGAATGCTGCCTGTGATGTCACTCCAAAAAATCCCATAGTTATTTTGCAACTGCCCCCCCCTTTAAATGCCTTAGAATTAACATATGAATTGGTAAACTTACATGTGGCATAGGGGAAGAGGCACAACCATTGCTCACCCCGTGTTCCATTTGCTAGAATGCAGATCCGCCATGCAAATTGCAAAATTAGGAAGAAACCTCGCTCACACCATGCGTGAAGAACCTAGCTGTGGCCTCTCTAGATATTGTAACTGTCTTCGGCCAGGGAGAAAGAAAGATGGGAGTGGGCAGTTAACCAAGCAGTGGAAAGGGACATTGGGAGAGAGGAGGCAGTGGTGTAGCATGGGTTGCTGGCATCCCGGGCAGGCAAGCTGACGCTGACAATGGAGCAACCCCCCACCAGAGCCAAGAAGGACCATGCTGCACTGCCTACCTGCACGCACAGGGCGAGCCTGCCTGGCTGACGTGGCCCTTGGTGGACGGATCACCCTGAAGCCTGCAAAGAGGAGAGCTGGGCTAGTCTATGCTGAGGTTGCCTGCCTCCCTCCATCAATGCCTGCTCACCATGGGCCTAGGCTGCTCCCACCGCCAACAGGGAGAGGGAAGCATATGCACCCCCAATGCACCCAGGGCAACTGCCCCTCTCACCCCTCCCCCCAACGCTATGCCACTGAGAGGAGGTATATGGTCTCCTGGCTTCTATTTGCTGGACCATGTGTATTAGGTCAGGCATAGGCAAACTCAGCCCTCCAGATGTTTTGGAACTACAACTCTCATCATCCCTAGCTAACAAGACCAGTGGTCAGGGATGGTGGGAATTGTAGTCCCAAAACATCTGGAGGGCCGAGTTTGCCTATGCCTGTATTAGGTCTTAGATTGAAGGAGAGAGGGTATTGATAGGCAGAGCTGTGTGCAATTAAAAAGAAAAAGACTATCCTGTGCTAAGAAAAGCTAAATTCTGCAACCGGAATAAAGCCAAAGGGCATACATTTGCTAAAGAATCTACTTTGTTCAGCTTTTGCAAGTCATGGGGAAGAAAAAGAAGCTCCACTCCCCACCCCAGCAAAGTCCACCGGCCTTGGACATTTTACCAGGCATTGCTCATGATGTGCATGTAATGTTTCCTCCAGGTGAGAACACCTCTTTTGACATGTTGGCAACCTTTGCAAATCAGGATCTTTGTCACCACCTGTCCCAGTTTTGTCCCTCTCCAGAGAGCAGTTTGTTGAGGGCAAAGATGGCATGGGGACATGGGGTTGGTTGGTTGAGTGCATGATTTGAGGCATTCTTTTGGCGCTGTGGGTTAAACCACAGGCCCTAGGGCTTGCCAGTCAGAAGGTCGGCGGTTCAAATCCCCACGACGGGGTGAGCTCCCGTTGCTCAGTCCCTGCTCCTGCCAACCTAGCAGTTTGAAAACACGTCAAAGTGCAAGTAGATAAATAGGTACCACTCCGGCGGGAAGCTAAACGGCATTTCCGTGCGCTGCTCTGGTTCGCCAGAAGCGACTTAGTACTGCTGGCCACATGACCCGGAAGCTGTACGCAGGCTCCTTTGGCCAGTAAAGCGAGATGAGTGCCACAACCCCAGACAGTCAGGGGTCCCTTTACCTTTACCTTTCTCCTGCCTGCACAGAAATCTGTGAGGAGCTTCTGAAACACGTGGACCCAGAACTGTATGACCACATCGAGAGTGTGTCCAGTGACAAGCTGCTCTTTTGCCTCAGGTAAAAAAAAAAATCCCCACCTCCCTACAAACCCTGGACAAGGAGGAAGGAGCAAACTGCAGAGATCCCCACAGAAGGGATGGCTCTCAGCCAGCATGCAGAGGTGACCAAATTCTGCAACAAGAGCTTGATTTTGTGACCTGCATAAATCATACAAATTAAGCCCATCCTGAATAATTGATTATGCAGACACAAGTTTTGCATAATCAGCATCTATGCCTCTAAGATATGGAAGCTAGCACCCATGCAAAGACCTCTTTAAAATACAAAGCTTTATCTGTGTGTTTCTTTCCTTATATACTATTCTAGGCCTTCCACTCTTGCTGTCAACTTGTCCAATACGTATTTCTTAATTTCTAGCTCTGATTACTGGGGCTGGTGGGAAAAAATACATGCTGTGCATGCTCAGAGACATCACACATTAAGCGGGACGAAGTGTTCCAAGGGTGCTAGTGCTGAACCCCAGGAGAGTGGTCTGCATCAGATTTGACCCAGGCCAAGGAAGGACCTAGAAATGGGCTAGAGGGGTCTGTAAAGAAGTGGGCTTTTGACAGTGTAAAATGAAAGGCTAAGACGGTCCATCACCTCTTGCAACCCTCTATGTCAGGGGTAGGCAACCTAAGGCCCAGGGGCCGGATGCGGTCCAATCGCCTTCTCAAGTCTGGCCCACGGACCGTCCGGGAATCAGAGTGTTTTTACATGAGCAGAATGTGTCCTTTTATTTAAAATGCATCTCTGGGTTATTTGTGTGGCATAGGAATTCATTCATTCCCCGCCCAAAAAAAATAGTCCAGCCCCCCCCACAACGTCTGAGGGACGGTGAACCGGCCCATGGCTGAAAAAGGTTGCTGACCCCTGCTCTATGTGCCTCTATGTCAGGTGGCTGCTGCTACTTTTCCAGAAGGACTTAGACCACTCTGATGCTGTGAGGGTCCTAGAGATCAGCGCCTTGGAATCTGAGAGGATGAATTTTGGAGCCTGGATCTGGCTGACTCGTAGGGAAGGTGAGCTCTGTGCTCTTGGGAAGCAGGTCCCTGGAGGCACGGCAGTAGCATAAACTGTGTTTCCTCCACCTGGGGACAAGAATGGTGCACATCATTCTGCCATGTGAGCATTCTGCTGCCTCCTTTCACTGTGCATTTATACCAAGCTAGAAATGTCTTAGGGAGAAGGAAATGGTGTTTCTGGGATCATCTTTTTTGGCGATCACTCATAGCCAAGTAAGATTGTCTTCCATAAACACGGTTTTAACAATGAGTCCGTAAGTGACTGTGGAGGCCAATTCTGAATCCACACGTTCTTCCACAAGTGGGGATATTGGTTTCCGGGCAGGAGTTGATCACGGTGTGGATTTGCCAATTTCCTCTTAGCATGTTTCTGGGATAAACTCTATTACAAAGCAGGGAAGTAGGTTTCAGCATACAATTTAAGGGCAGCAAGTGGTCAGTTAATTAATGTTCATTTATTTTTGCAAGCCACTGACTCACTCAAAAAATATATATGCTGATCTACAGTTTTTATTACTACAATTATCACCATTTTGGCACCATTTGTATTTTCTTGCCTCAGATTGTCTTTGCAAGTGAAATACATCCTTCAGTACAATTTCAGTGGCAACATTAGAAAATGATCAAAATGGGAGTCAAATTCTAAGAGGGAGTCAAATTGTAAGGTGATACGAAATTTTGAATCGGTGTGAATCTTTGCTTCAGCTCTAATGGGAGAGCAGGGAGTTGCTGGTTTCCTCAGAGGGGACTTTATCAAGGAAAAGCCCCTTTACGTAACCTTGCTCCACAACTCATCCCCATCCCCAGGTCCCCCATCACTGAGTTTTCCTGGTGCCTCACTCCCAAACAACTCCCTGAATTGGTCTAGGTCCACAATCCAAAAGAAGTCCTGGAGAAAACATACAATATTCTCTGCCAATAGGTGAGGAGCCCCTGCCAGGCCCTTTCACATCTGTAGATCGGGAGGAAATCACGTTTGAAGTGCTGCTTTGCATCGCCGTCCTGATCAAGAACAGGAGGAAGCTGCTGCAATACCAGGACGTCAGTGACTTTTACCTGTTTGCACAGAGGTAAGCAACACAGCTACCTATAAAGTGGAGCTTTAAAGTTCTGGAGATGCATGTTGTACTAGTTAAGGGCAGGAGAGGCTGGTGTGCCCATTTTGACTGGCTAGGGAGACAGACACTAGGTGGGGCCAGAGTCAGGAAACTAATTCTGCTTATCTCCAGCTGAAGCAAAGAAAAAGCAGGCAGTGCTCCTCTGTCCCATTCCTTCCTGGGTATTCTCCTCACCTGCTGGGCAGCACACTTGGAGACCTTGGAGACACAGTAGGGGCAGACAATAGAAAGAAACTGGTCTTTTATGCCACTTCAGCTGGAGATGTGAAGAGCAATGTCAGATGTCCGAGGCAAGAGATGACAACTTTGATATTGTCTACAGAGATGCTTCTCTGCTGCTGCATCTGCCTGGCCTTTAAGTGTAAGGACTTAAGAAGAACGTGGCTAGATCAGATCACAAGTTCATCTAGGCTAGCAACAGGATCCAGCCAAATGCTTCATTGCCAAAGAACTGACCGCTTAGCTAGCTGGGTCATCATCCTGACCCAGCACTCCTATGCTTCCAAAAGTGTGGTTCCCAGCAAGTCGTGTGATATGAGTTTGCTATCAAATGAGGGTAGCTGGGCTGATGATTTTGCTACTCTTGGCACAGGTTGCAGGGGAGACTTCAGCTGAACACACTGCATGGGGAAGAGCGGCGATAATGAGTGACCTCTTAAGAGCAGGGATCTAAAGAGGACTACAAAGAACACCCCACCCCCCCATGGACTTGAGTGGCCCCTGCAGGAAGAAATGAGATCACCATCTCTTTGGAAGCCAATCTCCAATGAAGCTATAAGCAATATCAACCTAGAATTTTGTCACAGCCTCTTAATAAGCAAACATAGAAACTAGGACACCTTCTCCACCTCAAACCTAAATACAGTGGTACCTCGGGTTAAGTACTTAATTCGTTCCGGAGGTCTGTTCTTAACCTGAAGCATCACTTTAGCTAATGGGGCCTCCTGCTGCCGCCTTGCCACCGGAGCCCGATTTCTGTTCTCATCCTGAAGCAAAGTTCTTAACCTGAAGCACTATTTCTGGGTTAGTGGAGTCTGTAACCTGAAGCATACGTAACCTGAAGCGTATGTAACCCGAGGTACCACTGTATCCTACAATATTAGTTTCTGCCCATTTCAAACAAGATGTGGCTCCCACTCAAGGGATGCTGTGAGTTGCAGTTCTGTTTAAAGCTGTTGGGCTTTCTAACAAAAGGCACATGTACACTACAGACTTAAAACTGATTTAACAGTCATTCCAGCTCCTCAGGACACACTGGGAACTACAGCTCTGTCTGTAGGAATCTCTCAGCACCTTCACCAAAATTACAGCTCCCAGGATTCTTCGAGAGAAAGCCAGGACAGTTAAAACTGCAATAAAACCAATATACAGGTTTGTAGTGTAGATTTGCCCTAAAACTTATCGGCACATTCACAAAACAAACGGCAATTACCAGTGTTCATTACCAATGAAAAACACCCAGGGCTAACCATTTCGCATGATGAACCAAGGAAAATGAGGAACGGTTTGGAGAGCAAACCGTTGCCTTGAACCCAGAGAGATGACAGACGCACTGATATTTCTGCAAAATGTCTGTTTCGAGGCTGTGGCTGTTTGCGGCGGGGGGGGGGGTATTCAGGGACCGTACAGATGCTTAGAATTCTAAAGTCTAAATACCGAAAACTTCTCATAGATAGTGAGCGGAACGTTCCCCTCTTCCTCTTCCCTCACTTTTTCCCATTATCCATCATAAACTCCATAATCTATAAGGTAGTTTTACTGCTCTACCCCTTGGCAGCTGCTGGGCTTGAAAGCACTATATTCACTTGGTTTCCTTAAACCAGGGTTGAGAAACTTTTGGTCCTCCAGATGTTGCGGAACTACAACTCCTATCAATCCCAGTAAGCATGGGCAAATGGCCAGCAATGATGGGAGTTCTAGTTCAGCAACATCTGGAGGACCAAAGGTTTTCTAACCCTGCCTTAAACCATTATAACCCCTGAACTGGAGAGGGATGCAGAGAAAAACCCAACAGAAATTGTTTTAAAAGATTTGGGGCACATGGTCTGTGGTGTGGGGGGAGACACGAGAACTGGAATGAGTTCATTTTACAGTGAACAGGGAGAGAAATATATGGAGTATCAGCAAAAGCAATGGCTTTTTCAGAAAGAAATATTTTTCCCCCCATTCAATCCTGGCCTAAACAAACAGCTCAGTATCTGGTATTCTGTGCCTGCACTTTACCACTGTGGGTCAGGGAATCTGCTGGCTGAATGTTTTTCCCATATTAAAAAGCAAAACCTCCATGCACATAGAACAGTCCTGTTAGAGAAGGATGTCCCCGTCCCCCCAATACACTCACACTGGAAGGTCATTCAAGCCTGCAATCCCCAACCTGTAGTCTCAAGTGGTCTATTGTCCATAAATAGCTTTATCATGTGATCTGCTGTTTGTCTAGCCTGGACATGAGGCCCAGTGATGGGGGAGGGGATCTGTAGTCCATTCTCACCTTTGGCCAGATTTCATAATGGGCATATAACAGTGCCCAATGGGATAGAAGAATATACACAGAGAAAGACAACAGGTTTTTTTGTTTTTTTTAGAATGCCTTGGAAGCAAATTCATTCCGTACAAAGAGACTTAAATGCAAGCGAAACCAGGCAACAGAAAGGGAGAGCTGGGAGATGGTTCAGAGTCTGTTCAGAACAGGCTGCGGGAGAAAGGAAATAGCAAGAACTGAGAAAGAAACACTGCATAAGCATTGTCAGGCAACATGGTGCCAACCTGGTGCAATGACAGCAACACCCAGGCGCGTCTTACCCATAGAGGCTAGTGGTGCGGGGCGCCAGGGCGCCAGGTTCTGGAGGGCGCCAGGCAGGAGTCCAGGGAACACAGAATGAGTGCGATGAGTGAGCAAGGGTGCGTGAGCCGCTCTGGCTGAGCATCGGCTCAGTTTTTTCCCTTTTAGCCTGCAGGTGCCGAATTCTGCGGGGCGCCAGAAGGCTAAAAGGGGAAAAACCAAGCCGCTCACTCGCTCAGTGTGCTGCCTGCCATGGCCACCACGGCACGAAGTGGCCAGCCAAGCCAGGAAGCACCGCGTCCAGCCTCCACCTCTACCCCGCCAGAGAAGCCACCCTCCAGCCACTGCCCACCTCCTCCAGCCCTAAAAAAGGTTGACAACTCTGGAAAGGGAGGGGCGCCGAAGGGATCTTTGCACCACAGTGCCAGATATGCTTAAGATGGCCCTGGCAACACCATCCAGAAGCATCTCAGCAATGCTGCATGGACAGCCGCCCTGATCTCCCCAGCAACACCGCAATGGCATCAACTGCTCCTACCCCAGCACAGCAGCAGCAACAGAACCATTGCATTTAATTTCCTGTAACGTTTGGAGCCACACACAAAGAGAAACTCCTCGCTGATGTTACAGCGCCGGGCGATTTATTCCAGCCCCAGAGATCCGGCTTCTCTCGTGATCCAGGGGCTGCCCTGCTTACAGGGCAGGAGAGGGAGGCAGTGGGCCCCCACCCCCTCCCGTTCCTCCCTTCCACGCCAAGGCAGCATTAGTTACTGAGCGCATAGCAGAGGCAGGGGGAAATAACAAACGGCTTCATGCCACCCGCTTCCCCCTTTAATGCTGCTTTATTACAGCAGCGAGTTCAGGCGCAGGTGACGGCGCCATAAACCGCGGCTCGGGTGCTGGCAGAGAAGCCATTTATTAAAGAGAGTGAAGGCAAAGAAAACATTAAGAAGGGCAAGGAGATTACGGGCAGAGAACTTTCTCACAAGGATGCAACATGCCGTAAAAAGCTGGCCGAGACTCCTTCCTGTAGAGCTTGGCATTGTGGACCACCACCCCACCACAGACCATCTGGTCACTTTCGCTCCCCCTCCACTGACTGCTTGAAGCCCCAGACACGTCAAGAAACCACCTTCCTTCCCCTTTGTGCTGTCACAGGCACCAAGATCACTCAGAGAGGTGACTCTCTTGACAGCACACCCGCCGTTCCCGAGGCTGCCTGTCACAGGAATAGAAAGAGCCCTGCTAAATCAGGTCGTGTGATCTGGGGGTTGCCTCCAGACTCGGGATTTTGCAGACGGATTCAAGGGCATATGAGATTTTTAAGTTTGCACATTGAAAGTGGGTTAAAGTACTCTGTCGGCCTAGCGCAACAATTCCACAGTATACAGAGTTTGGAAATGAATGGCCAAATACATCAGAAAGTGTGGGATGCACGCACCAGTAACAGGAAGCTGTATAGACACCCTGCAAGCAAATCAGGACAAATGCCCATTGTCATGCAACCGCCCCATAAACAAATGAGAACAAATAATACATACATACATACATACATACATACTTTTATTATTTATATCCTGCCCATCTAGCTTTCCCCAGTCACTCTGGGCGGCTCCCAACAAAACACTAAAAACACAATAAAACTTCCCTAAACAGGGCAGCCAGATATAGCCTAACTACCAGCTACATAAGCAGTGTACAAGTAAATCAGGATGAATGCTGAATAGGCCCTCCATAGGCACCCTGATCAAGAATCCTGTTCCCACACGGGCCAAACTAGGTGCCCTGGGGAGCTCAAAAAGTCTGAGCCTGACTTTTCTCTAGATTAATGATGCAACTTGGGACGCAGGTGGCGCTGTGGGTTAAACCACAGAGCCTAGGGCTTTCCAATCAGAAGGTTGGTGGTTCGAATCCCCACGACGGGGTGAGCTCCCGTTGCTCGGTCCCTGCTCCTGCCAACCTAGCAGTTTGAAAGCACGTCAAAGTGCAAATAGATAAATAGGTACCTCTCCAGTGGGAAGGTAAACGGCATTTCTGTGCGCTGCTCTGGTTCGCCAGAAGCAGCTTAGTCATGCTGGCCACATGACCCGGAAGCTGTACACGGGCTCCCTCGGCCAATAAAGCGAGATGAGCGCCGCAACCCCAGAGTCGGTCACGACTGAACCTAATGGTCAGGGGTCCCTTTACCTTTTAATGATGCAACTTACCTCTTTGGGCTGACAGTGAAAAACCAAGGTAAAGTTAATGTGGAGTGATTGTAATGTTAACTGGGTACTTTCCACTTCTTCTTTTTCACTGCAATTTGCTTTACGTTTTAACTTTTTACACACCAGCACAGGGAGCTGTGTTACACTGAGTCAGACCATTGCTAAGCTCAGTATTGTCAACACAGGCCTGGAAGGGCCAGCTCAAAACATTTTGATGCCCAAGGCAAGGAGCAACATGGCTCATTCTACATGCAGAAGCCAACCAGAATGGAGGTTGAACCTTAGCTTGCCCTGGTGATGAGACACCATCCTCCAGCACCCCCGAGGGCTGCCAATAGGGTAGCTTAGAAGGCAAGGCTACTTGGGACACACAGCTCTGTCCTTCCAACACCCTACTGCCTCTCCAGGCCTCCCAGAATCAGCCGTCTCACACTGCCAGCCCCACTGGCCTAGAGGAAGTCCCTTGGGGTTAGAGCCTTTTTAGCTCTGATAGTGGGAGATTTTAGAATCTCAGCGCCGTGGGTTCGAGCCCTACCTGGGGCAAGGGATCCCTGCATTGCAGGGGGTTGGGCTAGATGACCCTCATGGTCCCTTCCAACACTACAATTCTGTGATTCTAATATTATAAATAGGGACGTGGGTGGCGCTGTGGGTTAAACCACAGAGCCTAGGACTTGCCGATCAGAAGGTCAGCGGTTTGAATCCCCGTGACGTGGTGAGCTCCCGTTGCTCGGTCCCAGCTCCTGCCAACCTAGCAGTTCGAAAGAATGTCAAAGTACAAGTAGATAAATAGGTACCACTCCGGCAGGAAGGTAAACGGCGTTTCCGTGTGCTGCTGTGGTTCACCAGAAGCGGCTTAGTCATGCTGGCCACATGACCTGGAAGCTGTACGCCGGCTCCCTTGGCCTATAGAGCGAGATGAGCACCGCAACCCCAGAGTCGGCCACGACTAGACCTAATGGTCAGGGGTCCCTTTACCTTTAATATTATAAATCCAAAGGTGCCTGTGGTTGAACCTGAGCTCTTATACATGCAAAGCATGAGCTCTATCACTGAACGTCCCCCTCCCGTTACCTCCAGCAAGCCTTTGGGAAGAAGGTGGGATAGAAATTGTTATGTACTGAAGTTCTCACCCTGGGCCAGCAGGGGGATACTGTAGATAGTTATGCAAATGAAGGATTGAAAAGTGAGGTTCAGTGATTGGATAGTTTTGTATGCAAATGAAGGATCGAAAAGTGACGTTCAGTGATTGGATAGTTTTAGAATGTTGCAACAATTACAATTGTTCTGTGGCTCTATATAAGCAGGCTGACTGAGCTCCTCAGCCAGTTCTGTTCCAGCTTACAAAATAAAGGGCTGCTTTGGAGAAATCGCTGTGTCGTCTGCTATGTCAACCCACAACTTAACAGAAATCAAATGAAACTAGTAAATCACAATATTCGAGAGGCCTTGCTTCACACACCACATGACAATGTCTTTCGCATCTTTCCTTTCCCCTCCTTGCTTTACATACAGGTGTGCCAGGGTGTGTGTGCTGGCGTACAACCTTCAGAGGGACATACGTTTTATTAATTTTATTTATAACCTGGCTCTGCATTCTTCAAACGAATCCCAGAGGCAACATTAAAAACATGATAAAACAATATGTCATTTAAATACAATTAAATGTTTAAAAAAAACCCCACACCACCCACACAATATAACAACAATATAATTACATCAGCCAAGCAAGACGTAGCACCACATTAAGAGATGGGGAGAACATCTCACTTTTCCCCCTGATGTAGAAACTCCCATTAGTACACCCAAGGCTTTTTCAGTTGAAAAAACAGGTGGGAGCCATTATCATTGTAAGACAACAAGGGAGGCGTTCATGGAGAGCTCTGGCACCTCTTTTTCTAGAAAAAGAGCACTGAGCACACCCCAACTGAGGGTTCCGCTACTCAGAACACCCTCTCACTAGCCACCACATGCTCAAAGAGCAGAGACACTGAGAGAAAGGCGTCCCCCAATGACCTCAAAAGTCTGGATAGGTGTGGAAGGGAGAAGACGGTGCTTCAGGTATCCGGCCCCAATGTTCAGGGCATCTACGAAGGGTCAAGTGCACATCAAGATATCCAGGGCCTTTATGTCAAAATTATATCCGGCTTGGTAGCATATTGCCCGCCGCTGCTGAGCTTCCAACACTGGTATTATATCTTGATGGTGAGCTGCCTCCACCGCTCTGAACCAACAGCAGCTTGCAAATTATGGTGGCATCCATGCTATACATTTAAAGCGCATGGCTGCCCACCCTCGGCAAGAATCCTGAGAAATGTGGTTTGCTAAGGTTTCTGGGAGTTATAGGTTTTTTATTATTATTTAATGTTATCGAAATAATTTCAATTAGAAAGAAATGAAGTGATACGAAGAAAAGAAGGGAAAGCGTGTGAAAGAGAAAACAAAGATGTGTACAGTCATACCTCGGGTTACAGACACTTTGGGTTGCACGATTTCGGGTTTCGCACCGTGCCAAACCTGGAAGTAGCAAACGGGTTACTTCCGGGTTTTGGCGCTTGTGCATGTGCAGAAGCGCTAAATCGTGACCCGTGCATGCGCATGCGCGGCGCTGCAGGTTGCGGACGCTGCAGGTTGCGAATGTGCTTCCCACACGGATCATGTTCGCAACCCGAGCGTCCACTGTATAAGAAAGAAGAAGAAAATACAATACACAAAAATACAATGCAAGTTATAATTCTGTGAGGGGGTAAACTACAACTCCCAGGATTCTTTGGGGGAAGCCATGACTTTTAAAGGGGCACGAATAAAGGGTGAGGATGTGGCCTAGTGTGCCATGTTATGGGGAGGGGCCACAGCTCAGGGATAAGGCACATGCTCTGCATGTAGCAGACCTGGGAGACCTGTGGACATCAAGATGTGGCTTGACTCCAACTCCCATCAGCCCCTGTCAGCATGGACAATGGGCAAGGACGATGGGAGTTGGAGTCCAACAACTTCTGGAGGGTCAAAGGTGCCCAAAGGTCAACCCGCCCTGTCGTAGAAAGCTTCATGAAAGGGTGAGGTGAAAACTCTCTGCCCAAGATTCTGCTGCCAGTCAGAGTAGACAACACCTGTGCAGTCCGAAGAGAGCACCACTGCATTCAATGGAGTTTACTCCCATGAAATTATGCACAGAATTGCAGTCATACAATCCTATGCATCTCTAGTGATGCTCCACTCTATATATTTACAGCTATGGCATGGAGGCAGCCGTATGCATAGAGTCTGTTTCAAAGACATTTAAGTGATAATGTGTCCATCACCCCTTAAGCTTTTATGTGGGGGTTCAGGAGGGCAGCAGTGCTTAATTTCTATAAAAGTGATAGCAGGGCACTGGTCTGCCTGGGAAGATCACCCTTCTTCTTTTTGCTTACTGTGGCTTGTAGCTTCCTCGGTGGGGGGTGATGCACTCTGCACATGTTCCGTGACCCCATAATCTATTCTGACTTCATACATTCCAGGCTTGGTCGAAAGTGGCCCTGGCTAAGCCCTGAGGCTAATTAATCCATTTGCTGTTTGCACATGCATGTATGTATATATAGGTGCCATTGGCCCGTTCACTAAATCACAGCCGCATCCTAAAAGGGACGCATGATCTTGCGCGATCATCTTTTAAAGCACCAAATCGGCATTGTTCATCACGCTGCGAAACCGCCACGTTCTCTCTGTCCTTTTGCACTCCTCCCAACAGGCTGCCTCGGCTGCCTCCTCCTCCTCCTCCTCCTCCTGTGCAAAGGCAGCTCATTACCCGAAAGATATTGATAAACTGGAAGCAGTTGGGAGAGCGGCTACAAAAATGATGAAGGAGGCTGGTGGGACTGAGTTATGGAGGCAGATTAAGGGAGTTAAATATGTAGAGCTCGGCTGCGTGCCGATTAAAAGCGGGGAGCGCGGCTGCAAACACCAGCCGCAGGGGAGGGGGAGCAGGCCCCAGCTGGCAGGAACCGGATGGATGGAACAAAAGTGGGGGGGGGGGAGAGAAGGGAGTGCAAGAAGAATGTGGCATTGAGAAGAGAGTGGGTGGGAGGGATGGAGGAAAGGGGCTCTTAATTCCTAAAAATCAGAGGTGCTGTATGGAACATTAAGGTTGGCACCAGGGGGGTTGGCTAGGCACATCAAAGCCTTGGGACCAAAGGCCTGTGGCACACAATTGCGTAACATTTGCATAGGCAAATCTGTATGTACAAATGCAAAAATAGGCTGGCTTTCTGAGGTAGGGTGGGAACCAGCCATGAGGGCTTACTCTTAGCTATGGGGATTTTCTGGGCCCAGGACACTACGTGGATTAGGCCCTCCACAAACGAAGGCAGTGGGAGGTTGGGATTTCTCTGGACCGGCCCTGAAAATGAAATGCGTATCATAGAATTGTAGAGTTGGAAGGGGTTCTGAGGATCATCTAGTCCAACCCCCTGCAAGGCAGGAATATGCAGCTGTCCCATATGGGGATTGAACCTGCAACCTTGGTGTTATCAGCACCACACTCTAAGCAGCTGAGCTATCCAGGCTGACCCATAATATAGATATACAGTGGACGCTCAGGTTGCAAACGTGATCCGTGTGGGATGCATGTTTGCAACCCACAGTGGCGTGTCTGCGCACGTGCAGGTTGCGATCCAAGGCTTCTGCGCATGTGCATAGTGCAATTTAGTGCTTCTGTGCATGCGCGACTGCCAAAACCCGGACGTAACCCGTTCTGGTACTTTCGGGTTTCAGCGGTCCATAGCCCAAAAAAACGCAACCTGAAGCGTCTGTAACCTGAGGTATGATTGTATAGTAATTTTGTTGAAAACGGAGAAGGGGCAGGAGATCCAGGGACTAATGAAAAAGACCTGAGGTTCTGATACCCCAGAGCCACCCCCCAAACAATACCACAGGTTGCCATCACTGGGTATTTCACTGGCCCAGTCTGTATTTTTTGCCTCAGGTGCTTCATTGCAAAGCCACATAGAAATACAGACAGGGAAGCGTCTGCTGACATGCCAATGCTGTGATGCGAAAAGCTTCACTTGCTGGATTTCTGTTTGTTGCACAAATATTAAAAGCATAGGACCCTCTTGGGAAAAATACTAAGCTGTGTCAACCAAGGAGGCAGGGATGTAACATACCAAAACTGAACTGGATGAGACATTTCCCATCATTTCATCCATGTGAGGAAAAGCTTCCTTTGCTACGTTAATGTACCTTAAGCAGCTGCAAGAAGCACAGGTGCAGAACTAGGACTGCTTGTTTGTTTTGAAGCGCCAGCTGCGCCCAGGAACTTGGCTGCTCACTCACCACTCTTGTCTTCACAAGCTCTGAAGCAGGACAGCAGTCAGCCATGGCTGCTCACACAAAGATACCCATCCCTGCAAAGTTTGCCTTTTCTTTTGCCTTTTTCAAATAACAGAACCCCTTTCCCAGGTGAAATATAGCAAAACTACCCCTCTCTAGGGTGGGCAGGACAAATCTGTCTAATGGGTGGACCATTAGAGGGAAAGGTATTTATTTCCAGAATAAAGTTCATG